AACTTTTGAGCTTTTAATTAGAACCAATAGTGTCCTAGACTAATTGACATCTTACACACGAAGTGTCAACGATTTACCTTTAGTCTAAATGTCAAGTTATTTTGAAGCTGGACATTGAGTTTTGGTGCCGTTTTCATTGGCATCTAAAACTTCTAACCTGCACTAAGATGGCGGACCTGGCTTCAACTGCTTGTATGTTAGTTATATAGATGTGCTCCATCTATTGGTGTTATGTGATCGTTGATTTATAACGGAATTCTGATGAAAATTTGATCATGAATTATTAGCAGTTTTGCAGGATGATTAACAATAGTTTTTTTTTTTTTTTTTTTTTTATTTAAATTGCTTGTTAGTAGGCAACAAATCTTAGAGATGTGTATACATTTTTTAGGACAAAATTGAATTGGCAGATGCCATGGTAAAGAAGCGTACTAGAAAAAGTTACTGTCGCCTCATCCAATTTTTACAGCAGTCAGCTGTTGACATGCTAGGCGAGCAACCGCGACAGTGAGGACGGGGAACAGCTGATTTCATGTTCCTAGTTGGCAAATTGTCTGCTAGCTACTAACGTACACATGCATAAGCCATCAGCGGTAGCACCAGTAGCCTCAATGAATATATAAACACTTGTGTTAAGGTTTAAATACAGTAGTCAATGTTATTACTGAATTTGATACTATACATATTGTTACTAATATATGAAATGGAGAGAAACGTTACCTTAAAAATACAAAATTTCCCAATTTATATCCAGACCTTTTTAAATAGCTTAGAAAACAAATAATTTAGTATATCAAAGTGTTTTTGGACGGTTATTGGTAACAGGACAAATTCAAAAATTGTAAATTTAAAATTCCCTTGTTATTCTTATAAATAATATTGTAAAATGTTGTAGTTTGCTTGTTTATGGATATATTTTGATCAAACTTGGCAAATTTATTCAAACAATTACAAAACTATTTGGATCATGAACGGTACTCTAGTTTTCCCAAGGTAGGACACGTGAATTGGAATTTTGGCGTTACAGGCACAATGACAGTAAGAATCAAACAAACGTACAGATATAAACTAAAGACTCGTTTCGGCTGTCTTATTATATACAACGTAGAAATAACCAAACACTTCATGAGTCTACGCAATGTACAGACAAAACAGTAAAGACTTTATAATCTTATAACTAACTATCTGCCCATGCTTCGCAACGGGGTAAGAATCTTTGGGTCTCTAAATCCACCGTAAAAAAATAGTATATTTCGTACCTAGGGCCTACAGTGAGGTTTTGCCGACTCGATATCGGGTTTTAAGTTCGGGACGAAGTCGAGAACGTGAAACGATCGAGAGCTGCAAACCCATTTTAGCTCGTGGTACGAGCGCTATTTTTCACCCAAGTGTGTTTAGCAATATAACGTCCCTCTTATTTATGTGAAATATTTTGAGGAATCAGCAAAATCAAAAATAACAATAAATAGTTGTCTAGGCAGCTGTGACAAAAAACAAGTCTATTGCAATGCCATGGATACTGCTTGTGCATTTAATATACATTAATGTTTTAAGTAAATAGGCGAACAAGTGATTTTGCGGCCCTAGGGATGTAAACCCCTGCTCGGTCCCCATATGACGATGACAGCTGGCATGGCCAGCATAACGTAACTTTCAGCCACCAATATAAACCAGCTAAATGTATGTAAAACAGCTAAAAACATCATAGTGAGGTGAAAAATTCGTTACGCATACTTTTACATTACCATGAATTAATTATATGCATACAGAAAAAACGGAGTCATACTTATTGCGTATTTTAACGTAAACTAGTGGCTTGTAGGGACATAGTCCCTAAAAAGCTACGGAAAAGGAATTATTGTTGGAATATTTAAACAAACTCAGAATCAAATTATCTATATGTCAGGATAGGCCTAGATATCCCACTACAACATATCTTTTGCGCAAAAAAAACAAAACAGTTTGTTGTTTGTCTTTGTTTGCTTTTGTTGATGACGTTATGTTCAATAAAGACTTTGAATGATTCCAGAGGTTTAACTGCTAAAGGCAGCAAACATGTTTATGAATAAATATTGGTTTATTAAGGTAGCTTTGGTTTTTTGGTTAATGCTGATAACAAGGCTTCCCCGATTGAAATACAGTATTGGAAATTGTCTTCGTCAAATAAAAAAAGGCAAAAAATGGTGTGTTGAGATACCCTACCCAGTTATTATTTCTAAGTCTATGCTCATTTTGTAAAGGTTTAACAAAATTATTCTTAAGTAAAGGCATCCCATTGACAGAACTTGGACCTAAATTTGTTTGTGATCAACATTAAAAAAAACACTATTAGCCTAGTGTAAGTAGGTATGTGGTGTTAATCCTCCTAAAGGTGCGATTGATTTACATATTCTACCAAAAAAGGGCCTAGTCAACGTCTAATTACTAACTATTTTGCGGCTAGTTAGGGTTCCATTACCCAGTTATCGAAACTAATCACGACATAAATATTTTTGGTTCGTTTAAATACCTGTACGAACCTACTTCATCTCTATTCCCAAATTGTTTTCTAAGAGTAACCGTTGAGGTTATTCCACTTCATACAAAATATTGATTAAACACTACAATAAATCTCAAATATAAATGTTAGTAAATTAAAAAAAAAATTGGAATAAATCTTTTACATATGTTTTGAAATAAAAACAAAGAAGATCTTATTTTAATCTTGAATCGTTTCTTAAATCTTGAAAACAATTTATTTCAACTTTGACATAACTAAAAAGTCTTGATTATTAAAGGTAACGTTATCCCTTTATATAGTTGGTTTTATATAGTATACATTACATTGCAGAATTGACTGGCAAATGAGTAATCCAAATGTAAGCTTACTTGCTAATGATAAAATCACGATCAGCTGGATTGAAGTAAACAAAAATCAGCAGTAAATGCCTTATAATGCTATTCTTATGGAGAACATTGTACGTTATATCTAATTTTGTGTTAAGATTTTGGGAATTTCACTATTTTTCCCGCCGTCACGGGATAAAGACCTTTAATTTGAGCCCTCTCACGTCATTCTACGACTTCCCAGTCGCCCACAATTTTGACGCAAAGAATCGGCTTACGTAATTAATATATAGATAGAATAGATTTCTTGTATATTCCCATGAAACTGACAATTTACCCAGCACATTAAGGCCTTTATTCCAAGTATCTCAGTTCGTAAACCATACATACAATGTGACGATAAAATATCAACAAAATAGCATGTAGTTTTATGTAATCGTCACGACATTTCATTTGGTCCATTGACTTTAAATCCATTAATTGTAAAAATTATTGGAGCTTTGAAAAAAACTTCATATAAAATCCTTACACTAATAAAAGACGACGTCATGAGCGCGGGAAATGAGCTACAGCGGCTAGGGCATAGCCACATGAATACAGAACGGAATGAAGGAACTAGAACGGAGAACTGGCAACAGCGCACGCGAGAAGTAGGGGGGGCGCACACACCGCTCAAGCACTACAACGCATTAGTGGCATCCTGTCCACACACTGTTGATATATACCGATTTGTGGCATGGTGCCACAATTTAAAAACTGGAATGTTAGATGTTAAAATGGAGTGTTCATTAAAAATATCGATGCAGACATGTTTCTACCACCTTCCTTCATCCACTGGTGGCCGCAGGTTGAAAGATGCCACAATTAGGTGTTTGCGAGTATTCGGTAAAACCCCGTATGTGTGTGTCTGGATGTGTACAGAGCTAGAGACTACACCTGTGGTCCGATTTCGATGAAATTTGGTATGTAGGTTCTAATCCATGGTATCTCCAGGCGTTTTTTTCATTTTTTTGAAATTTTGATTTTTAATGGGGATTTTCCCATAAAAACCCATAAAAAACCGGAAAAATCGGAATTTCTCAAAAATGGCCCGAACGATTTTGATTAAAATTTAGTATGTTGTAGCCCTTTAAATTCTGAACAAAATGGTACAAATCCCATTTCTGTAAAAATTACGGTTCAAAAGTTATGGTAAATTATGTTATTTTCCCATAAAAACCCCATAAAATAACAAAAAATAGGATTTTAGACAAAAATCCAGTTTTGATTTAACATAGTAGGTTATGGTCCTTACAATTTTGATAGCTTTTTTTCATTTTTAGAAATTTTGATTTTAGATGGGGATTTCCCCATAAAACCCCATAAAATAACGGAAAAATTGGATTTTCCCAAAAATGGCCCGAACGATTTTGATAAAAATTTAGTATGTTATAGTCCTTTATATTCTGAACAAAATGGTACAAATCCCTTTTCTGTAAAAATTACGGTTCAAAAGTTATTGTAAATTATGTTATTTCCCCACAAAAACCCCATAAAATAACGGAAAAATCGGATTTCCCAAAATTGGCTCGAACAATTTTGATAAAAATTTAGTATGTTATAGTCCTTTAAATTCTGAACAAAATTGAACAAATCCCATTTCCGTATATTTACTCTCACCGCTTACACATGATAAAGGTTGTTGATAAACTTATGGGAGAAAGTATGTGTCAGAATGCTGATACCGTTTATTTTTATCTGTTAGATGAGATTTCTACATATTGAGACCTATTTGTTAAATATGAAGTGAACCGATCAAGAGCTCTTCTTATTCTCCCAGAATTTTAAGCTTTTCTAGAAGTGTTTGACACTATCAAAAGCTTTTGAAAGATCCATGAATATACCTGTTGTACACTTACCGTGGTCAACTGAGTTGAAATCACTTTAAAGCAAAAAAGGCTGTTTTATTAAACCCGGTCAAAAAGACCTTGAGTTGAGTCCTTACGTTTTCATTTCAATGTGAGTTCTGCAGTGTTGAGGACAATATTTAATGCCAATGGTGTAGGAAAAGAAAAAAATATACAAATAACACAAGTTGATTTTGTAAAACTAGATTCATTTAGACTCCTTATTCATTTTATATGTTACAGTAGTTTTGTTTTTTATGATATATTTTATATCTCAAAATGTTGTAGCTTGGAGACTTTAAGCTGCCTCAAATGAAGAGACCAGCAACAAAGAAGCCAGCAGAATCAACACCCTCAGGGCCTGTGGAGCTGTTCCCATCTGACTCTGACAGCGACAGCGACACTGATAACTTCGGGTAAACTGACAATTGTTTAACCCTCCGAGTGTCCCTTGTTTTGGCCTTAATGTCTGCCTAATTTTTGCTCATTTGCAAGGTTTTATTAAAACGGATCTGATAAGCTTGAAAACAATGTTAATTATACTGTTCTATATACCATTTTGTTTGGAAAATCATGGGCTTCAATATTATACATAGGACATAAGGAATATTTGTTTCAAAAAAAATTTTAGGTAAAAAAAAATATTTGGGAAAATTTAAAAAAAAAATAATAAGTTTGCGCTCAATGAAATTGTATAAATTATAAGCCTATAAATATTTGAAAATAGCAACTTTGTTCAAAATTTTATGAGGATTACAAATATATAATAATATAAGGAAGTAGATTTGCAAATAAATAAGTTATGGGCAAAAAACAGATTTCAGTACATAGCGTTTAGCTAAGAATGCATAGTCTAACCATAGCAAGGAATCTGGCTGATAATTTACATCAATATCACTACCTACTTCTTCAGGATCATCAACCAGCCCTTCAAAATCACTTAAATCTTCTTATAATGCACCACGTATATCACTACTTTTGTTTTTTAACACTAAAACAATGATAAACGTAATAAAACACATCAGTCATCGGTCCGAGTCTAACCAAGCTGTTTACAAATACACACGTCAGCTGTCTGCTACAATATTTTCGGAACTAAAATGAATAGCGCTTAGAGACAGACCTCCGGAGAAAGCTCTGAATCTGTAAAATAAAACAATACCTAACTCGATCCAGTTCAATCCGATTTTGTCAGTCATAGAGCCTTTGCCGTAAACACTACACAAAGTGTGTTATGTGTCGCTGCAGCGACAAATAACACTCGGAGGGCTAAGAATATATAACAATATTAGTATAAGTTGTTGTTTAGTTTTTAAGTCAATGTTAAGTATTTTATATCCCCTTCTTCAAATCAGAATGTAAGGTAAAGTTCCAAGCAGGATAAATTCTATACCTAGATACTATTGTTATTGGGCTATCTAACAAAAGGTCAATATTAGATAGTAACAAGACCAGAGATTGGGACGATTCCTTACAAAAATATTAATGTTGTATATAAACACAGAAAACAAAAATATCCATAATAAAGTAATGTAAGTTACAGTAGGACTTTGATTAACTTACACCCTTTTATAACCTTCACTCTTTGTTATTCATTAACCTGCTACAGATTATTTTAATTTGGTTTTTATGTCTGCATATGCATTTAGCCTTTTTGTTCCCAGCACTATAGGCTAGTAAAACTCTGAACCTAGAGTTAAGGCGGCTCCGAGACATGCGCCATTTGCCAATCGCGAAATAATTTATGTTCGGCGATCTAGTTGTCTTGCTATTCGCCGATTAACGAGCAGACGTCTACACGTGTGTTGTTTTTGAAGCAACTGTTTGTTTCGGGGATAACAAATATTCGTTCACTTTGATTTGTGTGAAAATACCGACAATGAACGGGAAAACACGAGCAAGAATGAATAGTAGGCAACTGCATGCAAGCAGCAAACTACACAATTGTTTTTGTGTTTCAGGACTGTTGAGGGAAATACTGTTAAAGGTAAAAAGAAGACAAAGCGGCTGAAAAAGAACAAAAAACTGGTGTCCCAACCAACAAATGAAGAGAAGAATGAAGAATCAGATAGTGATGAAATGGATGATGTTGTTGAAGAACTTAGACTATCAGATCTTGAATAAATGTTTATTGTATCATAAACACATTTTTTAAATGAATTAAATATTATATTGAATATTTGTTGAGTAGAGCACCATATTTTCCTCAAATAATACAAAAGTCATTTTAAATCAATTTTAAACGAAGTTCCCGATGAGCAAGAGACTAGAAACTTGTAACATAGCTCACAAATGGATGACAATGCAATATTATATCATTTAATTTTCATTTTTCACTTGGGCTACGCCCCATGGGCTTCCAAATTGTCCATGTTTACATTTTGAAAGAATGTAAATATATAAATTAATTTAAGTCAGCTGTAAATACTTAAATTTCACAGTTAGAAGAGCAGAGGTTAAGAGGTAACAGGTTTTGCTCCCGAGATATTCTAAAAATATAAAACAAGCATTTCAAAGTAAAGATAAAACATCTGATTACAGATAATAAGGTTTTGGTTATGTATTAACAGGTAATTTAAAATAGATTTAACAATAGTACCCTAGTTTCGTACCTAGGGCCGAAAATGAGGTTTTGCTGGTTCGAGATAGTTTTTAAGTTCTCGACTTCGTCTCGAACTTAAAAACTATCTCGAACCAGCAAAACCATTTCGGCCCGTGGCACGAACGCTATTTTTCACCACACTAAAATATTCCCACTATTACCACTATTCACTAAAATAATAATGCACACTGATAGTCAACACAACTACAACTCATGGTTATGTGAATAAATAATTTGAATCAGCAAAAATAATAATAAATAGTTGCTAGGCAACGGTGACAATAAAACAATCGATCAGAGGTTGATCTAAATTTGAAAAGTTTCAATGAACTTCTAAACTCCTTATGACAGTAAAGTTATGCGACAAGCCAAATATCACTACATTTCTTGCCTAAAAAAGTTCTGTAGTGTAACTGACATGAAGAAGGTTGTGCAATTTTTAAGATTTGTATATTTCTATTCTAAAATATAAATAAAAATTTACATGCCAATTTTGATTAGAAACTAGTCATGCAACATTTAAACAATACTAACTTTCCTCCCTTAAAAACATTAAGGCAATCAACCTTTAAGAGGGTTGTGCAAACGTTCAATATAAATCTGAGATATAGGAGTCTACGTTAAACTTTCAATACCTTATGAAACTAGTCATGCAAAATATCAAATAAAACTGTCGTTTCTGCCAGAAAAAGTAGTAGATTATGTGCTACAAGAGGTAAAGAGGTCAAGAGGTCTGAGTCGTCGTTATCAAAATATCTATATGTCTAAGATAAAGTAGTCAACATAGAGATTTAGGTTATAAACTAGTCCTACGACATGTTTAACAACAATGCATTTCGTTCCTTGAACAGTAGTGTATTGGTTTTTTAAGATGATAATGCGAATTTAAGATTTATATAGGTCTTAAATAAAAGAGTTAGCTTAAAAAAAATTAATGGAATCTAGTCATGTGACCTGTCAAATAACACTGCCTTTCTACCTCAGAAACACTATCGGAATTGATTTAAAAAAGGGGTGTACCTTTGGTAAGATATCTTTAGGTGTATGATGAAGGAGTAGATCTAAAAGTATTATCAAGAAACTGGTAAAATTTGACTGCCTTTCCAGCTTAAAAAAGTAATACATTCTATAATCAAGTGGCTAAAGACATTAATATTTAGTTCTTAGATAAAGGAGTCGCTTGGAATTTTGATGAAAAAATAGCCATGTGGCATGTCAAATATCCCTTTCCTGCCCAAAACCAGTATTGCAATCGATATCCAGGAGGATGTTAACAGTTTCCTGATATCTAGGTCTAAGATAATAGAGAGCTATCAGGTCTAGTGGTCAGAGCACGGGATAATGTCCCGGGTTCAAATCCCACCAAATCACTAATAGATTTTATCTAATAATTATTGATGCCACAAACCCGTAGGTGCCTGAAGAAATGTTAAGAAAAAACCCGGGCTCGTGCGTAGCGTCCTCGAAAAAGAAAACTGGACTCGGCTTAAATAGTTTAATAAAAAAAACTAATCATGCAATGTGTTAAATAACACTAGACCTATGTAAAAAAAATGTACAATCGTTTGTGAGTTGTGCCATTTTCAACATTTTCGTATAGAAGGGGTCTAGTCATTTAAAAACTTGATGGGAATGAATTTTTGGTTTATAATGATCACCCAAGTAAAGCCGAAACTCAGACGGATAAAGATGTTAAGTTCAAGGTTAAGTTATATTCGTGAAGTTAACACATGTACGTAATTTTTACAGCATAAATAGCATAGTTCTGTCCGTATATTGCGTAGAATCAGCAAGTTTTTTGTTATTTCGACGTTCTTTAGAATCAACGAAAATAAGTTGTATCTCAATTTTAGTCCGTCTACTTTCTTTGTCTGTCTTTAATTGCGTATATTACGCTAAAATTCCAATGTACGTGGACTATTTCGAGGAAGCAACAGTACATATAAAGATTGAAATTGCCTTCGTATATTTACTGGATTGGTGAGAATGTCTATTGCCATTAAAATATATTCTAACAATTTTTAAAATAAAAAAACGAACGTTCAAAACTCCCGTTTTGTTCGGTATTGTATAATTTTTTTTTAATGTTAACTATATACGTCTTCTATGTATATAAAATCCAATGTATGTTTGTTTGTATGTTTGTTTGTCTTTTATGGACTCCGAAACCGCTCGAAAGATTGTAATGAAACTTTCAGGCATTATTAAGCATTATTCAAGGATGGTTTGTGTGAAGTTTGGTGCAGATCCGTCAAAGGGGCTCCGCCCCAGTGGAGTTTCCCATGTTAACCTTGTGAGTACTCATAAATGGAATTAAAGAATCTTAACAGCTGGTTCAATTAATCAATTTGATTCTGTGATGTTCAATAGCATTAAAAAGTTAATAGGTTTACCAACAGGGTGCAGCACTATTATTTTTTTTAATTTATGATGACAACAGCTAATTTTGAACCAAAAGGTGAGTGAGCATAGCGAACGAACTTCAACCAGGACGTGATTGAGCCATGCGAACGAGCTCATCTTGAAAATGAACGAGCATTTGACATAAACCCAGGACAGGACGACGTCTGTCGGGTCAGCTAGTTATGAAATAAAAATCGTCTCTACAGAAAATACACAAAATCTGTATAAATTATATTAGCCTACAGTTTTGTATGTGAATCCCATAGAATCTTCATTTTTACGTTGCCTAGCCTAAGAATGCAGAAACTAGTCTTACCTCAACCTTTGTTTGGTTGTATGTATTTATTGTATCTCTGCAAAATGTTAGAAACTGAAGTACCGATCAAAATTCAAATCGTGTTTCTGTATTTCCTGAAATGGTAAGAATGTATTTAGCTCTTGATTAAGATCAATGTTGTTGATGTAGAAGTTGTTTATATACAGTAGAACCTCGGTTAACCGAAATTAAGGGGGGAAAGCCGTTTTGGATAACCAATTTTTCGGTTAACCTACCATATACTAAAAATATCCAATATATCACCACAGTGTGTAGGACAAATTAATTTAAGAGAAAGTCTATATAATTCAATGCCTTTGCTCTTTTTGTGTTACTTGAGGGGCATAGAAAATATGATAATTCATAAAAAAAATTCAAAATTATGTCTCTACGCTGACGACTCAAGTTTAATTTTGTCAGCTGACTCATTGGAGGAGATACACATTTTTTCTTCTAAGGAACTGAACAACATTGGAGACTACTTTCATGATCATAGCCAATGAATACAAACCCTTTAAGAAGCGAAATGCTAATTGAGAATAGTCAGACTGGAATTTTGCTGCCGAATTGAGCTTCGCGCGACCGCCGCGTAGTACCATTACTCGCGCGGCCGCTGCGCTACTCTATCTCTCTAAACCAATTCTTTGTCTCACTCTCTCTCACTCAAGTCAGCTGACTTGGCAGCGCAGTCGCGATAGTCTACCTAGTGCCTGCCGCGGGAACTATCAAAAATTCAAATATTTCCAGACTGAATTTTTTACAAAGCATTGCGATTCTTAAAGGGTTTGTATTCATTGTCATAGCTTTATTTTAAATTCTGAAAAAACTAAGTTCATACAACAAATAAAAATGAACTGTTATTATTGCATGGTATTATTTAACTTTAATCGGTTAAGTATTGGTGTTATTTTTAGAAGTCGATAAGTTACTGCAAGGAACATCGATGCATCGTAATGACGCAATCTCATTGGGCCTTGTCTGAAAGATCAGTTCCACTTCAGTTCAGTGTTGCCAGATGGACGATAATTTTTATACTTTTACAACTACTGTGGTGGCAAAAACCAAGTATTTACTTTCCAAAAATGAACTACACATTTTCTAATGAGTTTATATAAACATTAGGATGTGAATGGCGGTATTATAAATAATGTTTGACTGGAATGAGAGTTGTTCGTTTAAAATATGGTTTGGATGTACTTTAGCTGCTCGGTAAATCTCAAATTCTTCGATGGTGTCCATGTATTTACTTTTATGACAAGTATGCATTACTTCTAAATTTTAAGTACGATGCCATATTCTGCACTAACATATTTTTTGGGTTCTTTTGTATGTATCTGATTATCCTTTTTATTGTTTCTTTGTTTCCTAATCAGTTTGTCGATCAGGGCACTCTCATATCCGTTAGATACTGCGATGTATTTTAATATGTCTATTTCATTGTTGTAATTTTCTGGGCTTAATGGTATGGAAAGCAGTCTATGGACATAGCTATTGTAGGCAGATAATTTATAATTATGGGGAGTTCATATTATATTGTTTTTGTCATACTGCAGTAAAAACAGTCATTTTTAATGCATGCGTTGCGGGTCTAAAGTAGCATTTTTACTCTTTAGGAAGTAAAAATCGTTTTTAGCCTCTATAGAGTAAACATCATTTTTAGCCTCTATGAAGTAAAATTCAGCTGTTGTCAACTCGGTTGTAAATTTCTACTGTAAAGCCCCCCACACACTACCAGACCAGACCTCCAGACCAGACCGTCTGGCTGCAACCAGACCGTCTTGGACGGCTCTACACACTCCCAGACCAGACGGTCCTAATTCGTAATTGAGAGACCGTGGTGAGAACTCCAACAAATGGA